TCCACTCATGGCATCCTTAATCAGGTAGTTGAATTGGAGTTATTGTGACTATGTTTAGATATTACTATGAAGACTACAAAGAAATTATACAGCAATTACATACACCTTAGGGAGAAAGTGAGGAAAAGTTAATCTCTTCTATGGGTAGCAATCTTATGCTGGGGGAACGAGTACCTTTCAGGTTTACATGAGAAAGCAGAAATGATAAACAGCCTTTGTTTACACAAAAATAAATGAAAGTAAAAGCTCACCCCACCTGGTGGGGTAGGGGAAATTAAGGAACAAGTACCCATTGTTACATGTTAAACAGGTATAAGACAGAGTTCATGCTTGACACTTCCAAAGAGAAGATAATGAGAAGCAAAGAGTACATGGGTTGCCATGATAGTTTTATTAGCATACATTTTAAATTCTGTATGTATCATACTTAATGAACTGATAAAATGACTTGTAAAATATAACCTAAAACCCAGAAACAAATGACTTGCATAACATATTCATAGTTTGAGAAAGCTGACTCTCTTTGAATTCAGATAGCCTCTCATGTATTAGTGTCTTTGAACTCCTCCCAGAAGTATCGTATCCACTGCTTTACAGCTTAATGTTTTAATCAGGGTCCAAGCTCATTTTTATGATTGACATTTCGTTATAAGAAGCAACTAAATAGGAGACTAAACTGAGGAGAAAAGAATGCAGAAATTGGTCAAACTTCTTTGGAAACAATGGATGTATGTTTAAAATTTGTGATAATGCTTTTATTTCTTAAATCATAACATAATTATATTATCTCCCCCTCTCCTTTCCTCCTAGGATACCCTCTTAGATACCCCTCCTTGCTCTCTTTCAAACTCTTGGCAGCTTTTATTTTAATTAATTGTTTTATGCATATATGCACATGTATATACACCTATATTTCTACATATGTGAATACAAACTTCTCAGTCTGCATAGTGTGACTTGTACTTTGCAAGTCAGTGTTGATTTCTGAAGGTGTGTTACAATGAGTTCTTATATTTCTGTTTATAACTTCTCCTATCTGTGCTTTCTTCCTTCTTTCATTCCCTCCTGTCTTTCCTTTCTTGCTACTTCTTTGAAAATGATTCTTGTTATGTAGTCTGCTCTTTCTATGAACTCACGGTCTTCCCGATTCCGCCTCTCAATTGCTAGTATTACAGAACTGCCCACCATGCCTCGTTCTTGTGATTACTTCCATTCTATATTCTATAAATAATATAAAAATGCTGGCACTACTATCAAAAACATTTTCTCTCCTCAATACTTACTTCATTTACTTTCATTTCTTCTGGTTTCTTGTCCGTATACAAACAGCGCCATGAAATTTTCACAGACATGGCACAAATCATTTCATAAATCTAATGTGCTACAAACTAATAATCTTCATATCTCCTTTATCAAGTATCTGGAGATTTTTCACTAGGAAAACACAATCAAAGTTCTAAAGTGATCAAAGCATCTGCCTAAGAAGTGCTAAATGACAGAGCTATAGTTGCTTATAATGAATATTAAATATCATTCATGACTCCAGCAATTCATAATTGAAAACAGCAGGTGCACCATTTTCTACCAATGACTCCTCAGATATCTGATGTTTTAATTATTACAATGAGCTGGGCAGTGGTGGCCCATGCCTTTAATCCCAGTACTGGGGAAGCAGAGGCAAAAGATCTCTATGAGTTCCAGGCCAGCCTGGTCTACAAAGCAAGGTTCATGACAGTGAGGCCTTCAGAGAAACACTGTCTTGAAACACAAAACAAAACAACAACAAAATTAAAATGAAATTCCTGTTTCTGTGATAGCTACAAAAACAAAAAAACATGGTGCACTTACTTTATCTTTATTTCCTCTTCTACGAGCAACATTATCTTATAGCCATATTGTCATAAACTATAGTCTCAAACACATATAGGAGGGGGAAGTCTAAAAGAGAAGGTTGCTTAGAACCAAATCCATTAATGCCACATGTTGACAGTGTTTTTCATCAGGACTTTGAAAAAGTACCTGTTCTTTTTAACACTGTCGGAAAAAAAAATCAAGAATGTGAATCATGTCTCTAAGTATCCAAAGACACCCAGCTTCAAAGAGGAACTGAGTGACTTTTTGCAGCCCTGTATAGAATTTATACAAGTGGGATACAAGTGGGTGGAGATTGCCAGTATAGATATCACCTTACTTGACAGGAAGAATCTCTCTGCTTCAAATACAATTGTGCCCCAAGGACAGCATAGACTTCTAATTACGTTTCCTCCCATGCATTCTGGTGGATTTATCCAGTATTTTATTTATTACTAGCATGTGAGTTGAGGAATCTTTCTATGTGAAGATTCTAGACTTTTAACCATAGATGCTATTTTGATGATTAAATCTCTACAATAGTTCTGTGGCACAAAAATTGGATGTATGGTTACAACTGAAGCAGATATATCCTTGGAAGTTCTACAATACATTAATCATAGTATGTACAATGTATTCTAAAGATAAACGTTAAAATTTGGTGCTTTGCTATCACTCTTCAGTGACTGTGAAGTGCAGTGAATTTAAGTGAATATGAGCTATATTGCCTCGCGCACACCTGTGTCTCATTTTTCCAACTTAAGAGTCATATTAGTTCAACTTCCAGTTATTTTTTTCTTGGTCTCTGTTCATTAAATCGTGTTTCTTCCTCATGCAAATGAGCTTTTCTGAGATCCCTGATTGCTTCCTGCTTAGCTCTAGAATGTTCTTTGTAGTTCACGTGGATAGAATGTCCAGGTAGATCCAGACACAGTGGTATTTGTTACTGATGTCTATTTCACTTTCATTTTATCATTTGCCATTCTCTGCTTGCTGTAGAATTGGCTATTTTTTTTTCTCAAATATCTGATCTCTACTGCAAAGGAAATTCCTGTTTTAGTTTGCTTTTGTTTCTTTATATCTTTCCCTGTCATTTCATTCTCTTTCCTCCCAATAATTTATCCTAGACAGAAGCTTAAAAATGATTGTGATGTACAGAGTCTGCATCTGATTGTTGCTCACTGCCTGACATTTCAAACCATTCCCCTTGACTTCTACCCATACTGAGCCAGCTGTGCTAACTCCTGAACAGTTCAAAGCTGTTCCACACAGCAGACCTCTGCCATAGCCCCATGTACTTTTTACTTCTGATTTGTATGATTTTGTATGATTTTTTTTTGTAGATTCAGATATTACAAAAAAAAAATCTCAGTTTGAGTTTTACCCCCATGAGTGTCTTCCTTAAAGACTCAAATACACCCTTTATAGCTTGCCCCATTTATGTTTTCTGAGGACTGGCTATATATCTTTATGACATTGTTTTCTTCTTTTGTGTTTGTCTCAATGGTCCTAGCAAGGTGAATGGTTCTTTTTCACACCCTTGTAGTCGGCTTTGTCCACCACCCTTTTCTGTACCTTAAAGATGAGCTGACACTTGATGAGAACTCCATACTTATATGTTGAATAAACAACATCAAACAAGCTCACATCCCATCATACCAAATAAGCTATTATGTTAACTTGACATAAAATACATTCTTTCACCACTATTAAAATAGAAGCTTTTTGCATAACATGTTATATAACACAGGTTCACAAGTGTCTTGACAGAGAATTGTTTAAAAAATGTTCAGATACATGTATTTGTAAATAATTCCATAAAATAAACACAGTTTCATTATCAGTAGTATAGAGGAGAGACTTAAGAAATTTCAAACATACTTTTTCATACATTTCATTTATGTTGCTGGTCAAAATGAAGTTTGAACTGTTTTGGTATATATATATATGTATATATTTAACATATTTAACAATGCTATATTATGACGTTTAAATGTAAATCATATCAGTATTATAGGCATAAAATTTAGAATTATCCACCAGGCGAATTTTCTGATTTTAAAATATATTTCTTCTATAAAGGTTTATCTTTTCATATGATGGAGTGATATAGTTTTATTCTTAATTTGAAAACAACACATATATCTAGATATCAGAATACTAATATATAACCTTGTATTAGATGATTATCACTAAGTGCTTTTTCTTCATTGGTTTTCTTAGTTTTTCCTTCACTGTTTAATATCAGTCATATTTGATAACATTATGTCTTCAAACAAGCAGCTGTAATAGTTAAAAATGTATGTATCGAGAATGGTGTTTTCCTTTGTAAATTCTTTGCTTTCTATTGACAGGTAGATTTTACTATCTCTCTTATTGAGTAAACTTATTACAGTTAGTGTAGAGAATTGTGTGTCTCGTTTATCAATTCACATAAAGAAATCATGTACTTAGGTAGCTCTATTTTTTCATAGCATATAATATATGATTGTTGTGTCAATTTTTTTAAAATATCATATGTGTATAATTTTATTTTATCATTATTGTCTTGGTCTTCCATATTTATTCATTTATGTAATATGCAACATTTGTCAGTAAAAATCACTGTGTATATAAGTGGCAAAAATGTATGTATATCTTTTCACATTAATGTCCATCATAGTTCTTAATACAGTATCTTTCAAAATGTTAGCAAAATGACCATAAAACATATAAATAAATACAAAACAATCATTTAACTCTGCAACAGAACAAAACAAAACAAACAATAAAAGTAACAAAATCCCTTTATACTGTCAAGCTTTTTTATGTAAAAACTGAATTTGGTAGCCAATGCCTAACTTCATACTTGGGTAAATTAGTGCACATAGTTTGTATCCCAAAGTTATGAGACTATTAAAATAAAGAGGACCTTTGTATTTTATAGGTAACTAGCTTATTCAGTTTGTGTAACTACATCTAATTTTTATCATATTAGAAACGGGGATGAGAATTTTTCCTAATAAGGATAGTGTTTACCAACTACGGGGTGAAAAACTCATTGTTCATCCCCAGGTTTGTCTGAGTGGGATTTGGGGTGGCTGGTCCTAAGCCCGAGTCTGCCATAGAGGGCTGCCTTTGGGTATGGCCTCTGAGTAAGCAGGGGTTTGATGGTGCGCCCTGCGGTCCCCGCAGGTGGCAAGCACAATGAGAGACATCCAGCCCTTGCTGCTCCACTGCGACATGCTGAACGCAGCCCAGGAGGCGCTCTACCTCCCAGACATCTTCTTCAGCAGCCAGCTGCAGAGCGTGCCACTGCTCATCGAGGACAAGGGTCACGCGGAGCTGCCAGAGGAGTTCGTGGACCAGTTGCCCCAGGAGCACAGATTGCAGCCCAAGGTGCGGCCGGAGGGGAAAAGGGCTGGGGTGGCAGGGCAGGGGCTGATGGGAGGCTCAGTCCCAAGCAGCTCTCTCTCCTCATGTTGCGTTCCACACTTGCTAGTGGCCTGTTTTTCTGCTTTAGCAACACATGCCTATTCTGCTGTTGAGCCACATCCTTATTTTGAAATATTTGGTTTAAAATGTGTGGTTGTGATGCAAACCAGGAATTGTGACACACACTTGTCATTCCGACACTTTGGAAGTGGAAAGGGATGCATCACTGTTTAAGGCAAGCTTAAGCTATGTAGTGAATATTCAGGCCAGCCTGGACTACCTGAGATGCTATCTGAAAAGAAAAAGAAAAAACAAAACAAACAAAGAAAAACATTAAGGTTGAGTTAGAAATACTATTTTTCATTACTGCAGGCCACTTCAAATTACTTTTCAAGTAAAACATTTTTAAACTGTGAAATTGCTAAGACTATGAAAAATGAGCATGAGTATTTCTGATCGTCTTGTTTGAGAACGAAGTCTCATCAATAGAAACTAACAAGGTTTTGAAAAGATTATGATTAAAGCATCTTGGTAAGGGATTATGCGTAGTCATTTAAATCATAAAACCTCAGGAAAAAAGCTAGTAATCTCATAAAAATGCTGGAATGTTCTTATGGTCTTGCTTCCCAGCTGGCAACTCTATTGAGTGAGTCTGTTGAGTCCAGCTATGAAACTCCATTGAGGAACACTATATAATGTTTCCACAATGTTAAATACTATTTTCCCAATACTGTGTACTATATTAAAGATTCCTTTTTCTTTTTTCCCCCTCACAAAACTCTATAGGGTACTTTTATTCCTGTCATTTACCCCCCAGGTGACATAACATTAAGAACTTTGTGCTACAAAGTGAGAAACCATGGGAAGTATGTGGCTGAAATCCATGAATTTCAGTTACCCTGCTTACTCTAAAAATTTTTGAAGGGGTAAAATATAAGACATGCAAGGGTGAAGTGGACATCACTGTATTTGTTGTGCTCATTGTCTGAGCCTCATTGTGGCAACATAAAATAGAATGCTTTGTTTGAGAGGTACATCATAAACACACTTCAGGTGTAAGGAAATCCAGATATTTAAACTCACTTCTTCAGTTCTAGTGAGTACATTGAAGAGAGGGAAGGGTATAGGGAATATGATGCTCACGATGGATTTGAGGCCCCCTTCACCCAGTTCTATCAATGTTCTGCAATCTGTCCATTGAAATGATCATTTCTTTTTTGACAGGTGTGTGTAGGGGTCGTGGTGGCAGTGTTGTCCACAGCAAGGGACACATAGCTGTGTCTCCAAAGTGTTGCAAATATTTAAGGGCAGTGTAGAGTACACATTCTTCCTATTTCACTGTTCCTCTTTCAGATATGACATGCTCTAAATTAGGCAGTTTCCATTTATTCACACAATGTACATCAATGGCCATGGGAATTTTGTGATGATTTTGACTTGATTTGTATTGTACATTAATACCTCAAGTAATTATCATTTAAGTTACTCTGGTGAACCAGTGATCATGGGAATTTATAGAAAGCATGGAGAAGAAATACAGAAATAATATTTAATTTTCATTAATAAAACATAAATACATACGCTCCTGTTTGCAATTTTGTCTTCTGACAAAAATTCAGAATATAGAATAATTTTTCCTATATAACTCTTAATATAGAAGTTACTTATATTTAGATAGTCTCCAATTTTTATTGTTTTTGTTTCATAACACTCTTCTCTATCACTAGCTTTTAATGCCTGTCACACATATATTTAATAAAGCAAGGTAGTGATGGGTTTTAAATCACATATTTCTAAAAGGAAGTTTAAAAGAAAGGAATTATAATGTATATTATTTTGAACAGAGATGAAAGTGGAGGTACTTGGCAGATTGCACGGAAGCTCATAAATAGAGTATAAAGTCTAGGTGATGCAACAGGAGGTGAAAGAACCATATAAGTCTGTGACCATTGTGATACATTTAAAGTTGCTGTCCTATGAAAGTAATTTCTCAGTGAGACAGCAAGACTGAAGGGTATCTGATATATTGCTTCCCACAAAAAGAGTAATGAGAAGTAAGTAAATATTAGAGAGGCATAATCCTTCCTGTAGTGAAGACAGTACACACAGCCAGAGTGCTTAGATTGGTATTAAAAATGAAATTGAAGCAAGAGAATCACATTGTCTTGAACTCTTTAAGTTTAAAAGACATGGCAGATTTCAAACAAGAAAATGGCAGGGAATTCAAGTTCCCTCCATACCTCTTTGCGTTTCTCAAAGACCAAGAAACAAACTGTTGTAGGATGAAGATGTTGTAAACATATAACCTTCAGAAAACAGTTTAAATAATGAAGGCCAATATTGATGTGATCAATCTGTGGTGTAGATAAATCCAGCCATGACAACAGAACTAAGTCCTTTTCATCCTTTTCAAATGGCATTTTGACAAGTTTGTCCTTAAATTTATAACTTTTTAGAGTTAACAGGAAGTAAGAGCTAATGAGGGTTTGTATTCACAGAAACCAGAAATTCACTGCATACTGAGAAAATGAGGCATGCATGTGCTTGTGTGTGCACTTGTGTGTGCTTGTGTGCATGCGTGCACATGTGTACACAGACTCTCACGTCAGGGTTCCCTGAAGCAGGCTGATCCAGGAGAAAGCTTTAAGCCAATCTGAGCCTATATCTAAGTATAAAAATATTCCTTGGAGGATAGAGGAAGCCAAGCATGTTTTAAAATATTTTATTAATTCCTTCAGAATATCAGACAACATACTTTGATAACATTCACCTCCTCTACTCTTCCCCTAACTCTGTATCACATTCCTAACAGCTTTCTCTTAAAAACAGATAAAGCAATGCAGCAATATTGAAAAAAATCTTAAAAATTCTATTCTGAACTCACTTTAAAGCTCACTTTTCCTCTCCCAGGAGCCAAATGCTTTTTTTAAAATTGTGTTTATATATTTTTCCAGTCATCTTGGAGAATCACATAAAACTCATACCATAAATGAAGGATTTATCCCTCATTTTTAGGTATCAATGTTTACAGATGGCAATGCTTATATTATAGTTGTAAACAAAGATAAATCCATGAAAATCAACCTCTATTGTGCTATAGACTTATTGCTACTTCAATCATTATAGCATGAAAGAAATAAATGACCCAGAGATAAATATTGGGGTTCAATCTTCAAGCTGAAGATCACAGAAGCAAAGCAGCCAGCCACTAGCTCTTACCTCTACCTCAGCTCAGACCAAAGGAACAATCCACAAACTCCTCCTGACTTCACTGCTCCTCAGATTCACTCAGACTGCTATGCTCTCCTCAATGTGGCTAGAGACTAACTCTCAGACTGAATGCCTCTACCTCTTATACCTCTCAAATCCTGGGATTAAAGGCATGAGCTCTGATTCACTCTGCAGTAGCCCAGGTGGTCTTGGACTCAGAGATTCATTTGCCTCTCCCACACTCCCGCCTGCCTCCAGTCCTGGGATTAAAGGTGTGTGCCACCACTATAGCTAACTAGTGTGGTTGGCTTTGCAAACTGATCTCTAGTGGCTTTATTAGGGCATAAACAATATATCACCAAAATTTATTCTTGAGCATTTTTATTTTTCATATACAGTATGAAACTAAATGAACACTAAGTTAAGGGTCAGCAGCACAAAGATAGAGGAGTCCCCAACTTTGATCTCTCAGTGAGTGGTCGGTTGTTGACAAAAGGAGTGTAATTCAACAAATGCTCTTATAGTGCCCTTCCTGTTTATAATCAAGCATGGGGTTATCTCTGAAAAAGTAATACTTAAAGAAAAATTGAGTATGTTTGTGAGTGTGTGTTTGTGTTTGTGTTTGTGTTTTACAGAATGCTAAATGTGGAAATTGTGGTTTTATAATCTTTATCTTCAAAAGGGCTGCTTTTGCTCATTGTTTTCTGTGATGTCATCTCTTACACTTTTCTTCTCAGCCACAATACCAACTAACCCTCTATTACTATTTGCCTTATTGTTTCTTAGTTCAACTGTAAATGAGGTCTAGACAGCATTCTTTGTCTGCTGATTCCTATAACCAATACTTCCTTGAACACAGGAAGTAAATAACTGCTAAGTTCAGGGTACAATGAGGCAGGAGAAGAGACTACCTACTTTGCCTTGCTGAGTCAGAGATGTTGCTTCTGAAGATGATGGAATGTGCACTGCCTCCTAGCAGACAACTCATAGCTCAGCACAGAGGTAAAGAAAAACACTACTATAATGCAAGCTCAGTGTAGTTGGAGCATCAAGTCCAGATGATAGTTGCCTAACATCATTCTGGAAATGATCTAGAGAAAATGAGCAAGGATCTGATCATAAAAAGCATGATATTATATTGTGAGGAATTTGGCATTTTTCATATGGCAGTAAGGAAAAAATGTAGACATTAGAATTAAACATGGAATGGCACATTAAGAGCAGAGAGAAACCACAATAAAACAAAACCAAAACACTAGAGGCTGGAAGACAATATGGAGAATTATATTGACTTATAGGAGTAAGAGTTCGTTGTGTTGGTGGTTCTAACTCAGGGAAGCAATGTCCAAGGAGTGAATATTCATAGTGGTGGGGAAAGGGATGAGCTCAGTGCATAGCATCCAGGAAGCCCTGAGTTATTCCAGCACCCATTGGATCCCAAATAGTAACAATGAGGCATAATCAATGAAATGTAAAGAGTTACTGTGTATGGAAGTCAGAGAAAATACAAGGAAGAAACCAGAGGAAACCCCTCTGGTTTCACCTGTTTAATACCAACAGTTCTCCATTTTACTGAGCTAAGGAGGGGCAAGTAATGATAGTAACATTAGTAAGGCATGATGGAGTTGCTGACCAAACAGTCATTCTCATTAAAAAAAAAAAAAGAGAGAAGAAGAAAGACAGGGTTATTCTTTAATATTGCTGCTTAGCCAGGAATGATAAGATGTCCTGAAACACAAGAACATCTGCTAGGA